ATAAATTTTTTTAAATTAGCCAATCAGAATTGACTTACGTGGGGGGAGGGGGGTACCTCTATAGTAAAATAATATTATGTAATATATGTCACCACCCTAATATAGAAAATAAATTTTAATTCATTATACTATCTATAGTAATAATTATTATTTATAATATTAGAAATGGAGTGATATTAAAAATTTTACAAAGTATATAGTTATATAGCAAATTAAATGATGTTTATATACAAAATCTTGCATTTTATTGGATATATGCATATGTTAAGCAAAAGTATGAATATATATTGAAACTTCACATATTATATCTTTGCATCTAAAGTAATACTTGCTTCTGTATTTTGTATCAGATGAGATTATTAATTTAATTTTTAATATGCGATACCTGATTTAGCAATTTATTTTCTCATAGTTGTTACTTAATTGCTGATCTTGATTGCTATTATACCATTCTATATATAGAATATGATTCTGATTCTAGAGATCTAATTTTTATTTCTGTATTATTAATTTTGATTTATATACTATCACTAGTAAAACTATATACTTATAGAATTCAAGAATTATATAATAATATACATTAAATATATGAATCATTATGCAAAGAGGCATTATATTGCAATACCCCAGATTCACAATTTCTGCATATTGATCATATACAGTAAACCTGTTAGAATCAGGCTTTCTGTATGAAAGTATTAAATAATGATCCTATGAAAACCAAGCTTCTATCAATGATCCTATTGAAAAAAGTAATACTTAACTGCTTTTGTTGAAAGCTATTAAGGCAATATTATCTTGTTGAACAAGATGTGTAGCCATGAAAGACAAAAAGTATATAAATTAATAAATTAGTTGCTGAATAAAGAAGAGTAAAAAATAATAATAGTATAGAAGTCTTCATTTGACTTGTCTTTTTTTTTTATTCAGTCAAAGCTTCAATGAGAATAGCTGTAAGTAAAGGTTAGAAATTGGATCAGAAAGGGTTAATAGCTTGAGTTAATAATAGTTTAATGACAAAATATGGAAAAATATTCAATTTTGTTTTTTTTCTTGCTCTGTAAAATTTGTTATAAATAAGAGGTTAAATTCTTTTAACCAAGCAAAAATTAATTAAAGTACATGTACAAATGTTCTTTTTACAATAAAGTTATTAATAAAAAGCCCTTAAATAAATTCAAACTAAATATTTTTAAAATTGTACTAATTTACTTACATAATAATATTTAGTAAATGCCTTAGATCTGTGCCAAATTGATATGCTTATTGGAGATTATGAATATAAAGACTACAAAATTGAATTTATCAACAGCATCTAGAAAGAACAAAACAAACAAAAAAATATCAAAAACAACAAATCTACAAATTGAATCTTACTGACAACATCTGAAGTATTTGACAAGTCTTTTAGAAAAAAGAATGAAAACTGTAAATAAAGACAAGAAATACTAAGGGAACAAATTGAGTATTGTCAAGTAGAAAAAAAAGAAGACAAATGATTATTAGTATAAAATAAAAAAAATTTTATTATACTTTTCAGATACAAGCCTGTATATACTAACAATCAAAAAAGAGAGAAATCTTTTCTTTGTTTTAAAAAGCTATATTCAAGCAATTATATAATAATATAGTTAAAAGTGATTAGCAACAATAGAAATTATTTCATTATAGCATTATTGAAACACCCAATTTCAAGACCTGCACCAACCTTATTATAAATAAACAATAAATTTTATTAACTCTCTTTTACTTGGAAATAGCAATTACTAATCAAAAAAAAAAAAAAAAAAAAAAAAAAAAAGAGAAAGTATAAATACAAACCTTATAGAATCTAGGAGAACTACCAACTCAAGTACTATCTCCAAATATATTAAAGAAGATAGCTTGCTAATTCTAAACCAAGAATGCTCTACCAATAATCAATATATAACCACCCACTTGTTGAAACCATCAGGTTGATCATGAAGAAATAATCTGAAATTAAAGTCCAGACCCCCTCTACCTGGTTTTGCAAGAAATTAATACTGCTTTCAGAAAAACAACTGTAAAAGTTGTTGCTACCATCAGAACTAAACTACTAGCTTAGAAAACTAACTTAGTTCGAGTATAAAAAAAAAATAAGGATCCTCTGAAAAGAGTAGAAGCCTTTAATTATACCACTAATGCAAATAATTGGTTTTTGGATATAAGATTAAAATAGCTTCGGATATTTGCACAGAATAATACAAACTGGTACAATAGTATAAAGAACAATTTGATATACTAGAATTAAGAAAGTTGCTCTGATAATAGTTTTGTCTAATTGTTTGTCCAATATATCATCACTTCTAAAAAATGGTACAAGTAGCAAGTTGATCTTAATGTACTAAAACAATAGCCAAACAAATAGATAGAGCTATATGTGTTCAAGTTTAAAAAACTGTTGTGAAAGGTAGATTTTAGAAATTAGCTACCCCTTTATATGTTATGCAAATATTTTTAAAAAGCTTCAAAGCCAAGATAGCCATCTGGTTAAATATTGCCAAACTCAAAAATCTGGATCTTATAATACAGAGTGCTCATAAAATTGAAGCAAAAAAGTACTACAATACAAAAAGTAAGAATGTTGGAACCTAGGATAGAGAAGTTATATGATTGTTCTAGCAAATACAAATATTAACTACCAGTTATAAAAAATTAACAAGTACAATAGCTATTTATGTTGAAGCAAGACTCTAGCTAAAAAATTATAATAATCATATTTATGTGATTTGTTACAAGTATGAAAAACCTAGTCATATCTCATGCAACTATATATCAAAAAGAAACTTAAGTCAAAACTAGACCTTAGCTCAAGCATCATTAGCAAACTAAGCCCCAAACCAAGTTCATATAAATAATATTGTATAGCCCATTCAGATTCTTCCCTGACTTAATGATACCAATTATGTAAGTGTATTTGATAAACAAGATAAGTATACTACTAATAGTAAAGTTTTTATTGTACCCACCGCCTATTACCAATCTTATACTACCCAAAGATTAAAATATTATAGAAAAATAGTATCCAAACTTATTAATAAAGAATTTCAGACTAGCTAGCTTTCTAAAATAGTATCCATAATGGCTCTGATGAATGAAAACCCACCGCCAGTAATATTTGCGCTAGTAATACTAGCCCCTGTAGAACCTTCACAAATACCCTGATAGAAGAAAGGACCTTTAATAATCAATAACCTAGAATCGTATAATGTTATATAGAATTTGTTAAATAGGAAAGCTAATATTACATTAGGTCAGATATTACAATACTCAAACCAATAACATAATTTAACAAATATATTAAAAAGACCCTCATACTGGTAGCTATTATGACCCTGTGGTTACTTTGAGAGTATAAAAGCAATATTTGCTCAAGCTTTTGTTAATAAAAGAACCACTGCTATCTGGTATTATACTAGGATTAAAAGTGCTCTAGCAATTGTTATATTTGATACTGATACTGCTATAAATAGCATATCTAATAAAATAATAGATAAGTTGCAGTTGCAAATTAACAAACTCTTCATTATACAGATCATTATTGCTAATAAAACCAAGATATGAGCTCTAAGAAGAATAATCAATCTTAAGTTAGTTTTTGAAAGTATTGTGATGCCAACTATATTTCAAGTTATCAAGTCAACTGAATGTTCTCTCTTTTTAGATATAGACTAGTTCTTGCAAACAGAAGCTTAACTTTACACAAATAAAAGAAAACTATATATATAATTGCAGAACAAGATTGTAGAAGTTTTTGAGAGTAACGTCCTACCAATTCTACTACCCATGCTTGTTTAACTTAATGTATCTGAAGAATTAGAAGATTTGGGTTTTTTTAATAACTTTGAATTTGAAGATAAGATTTTGGAAAAAGCTGAAGAATACTTAGCTAAGCAATATGATAAATTAGAATTATACAAAGACTCCTTGCTTGATTATGAAAGCCTCTCAGTATATCTAGCTAGTACTAAAAATGTCTTGGTAGAAAACAACAAAAAGAAAAGGTTATAATAGAAAAACTGCAAACCAACCTTGATGATAAAATCTTGACTAATAATCAATAAAATCATATATGCAGTTTGTTAAGTAAGGAAGAAGACATTTTTACAAAAAGTATGAATGATTTAGGTTAAATATCATGTATATTTATGAAATAAATACTGATAGTGCCA